GGGAGGTTGGTGGTTGTGTACAAAATTCATAAAAGTGGGAGAATATTCTCGTGCAAAGAAAACGATGTAGTGCATTTTGATTCGTTTTCAGTGCATGTTTTTTATTATATTGAGACATTATCTTAATATTGAATAAAAAAAATTGAAGATTTTTCCCCGAGTTTAATTTTATCTTCCACATTAATTCAAATTGGGCTCCCTGTGACTTGCGTATCGGGAGCTCCGCTTTTAGGCAGTGCCTAAATATATTTAATAATTTATGTAGAGGGGGGCTGTGATGATCTTGAAGGGGGGTCTATGTTTTTTTCCTGTTCATTTTTATGGGGGCTATTGAAAATTCCTCTTATTGTGGAAGAAAGTGTATACGTAGGGGACATCAATAAATTTCAAAAATTGTCACCATCATTTTACTCATAAGAGCAGGATCTTGACAGTCCCAATGAAAGATGAATTCACACTGATTCTTGCTTTTCCAAAACTTTAATATATAATTCCTTGTTCTGAAAGTTTATAATTATTCCAATTTTAAGTATAGGATCACAGAAAAATCTGAGAAAACTATTTAAAACACAGGTATTTGGGCTCAAGCAGTGATAGGGGAAGTAATAGGGTGAAAGAGGAAAGAAAGATTTAGAGGAGTATATATATATATGGAGTTAAGGATGGTACCTACTATTGTCCAAGCCCACATGTACCGCTCATCTACATTCAAGGAATTTCAAAATTTATTACTCAAATTGCACAAAACAAAGCGTTTATTTTCAATAAAAGTTAAAGCAGAAAACAATTTTAAGTAACCTAGGCTTGTTAAAGAAATAATTTCCTATATGAGGTTTAAGTATAATTGACAAAAAATCATAAGTTTTTTGGGCACAGGGTGTTTTGAAATAATGCCAGACTCATAGTTCTCAAAAACCAAATCCTTTCAATAATAAAGCTTTTATCTAGGTGTGTATATGTAATTATAGTTTTGAAAATATTTTTTTAGTCAATAAACACTTTCATCATGAAAGTCTTTTATTTTGGAGTTTTCAATCTAAAAAATGAACTTATTATGTACCAAATATTTCAGAAATTCTTTTCTGCTGTTAGGTAAAAAGCTGATATTAGGCAGATTAAGATTCATGTTTTTCCTTCTCACAAACGGCAAACGTGACCACGTTTTCATTGTTTCCCAACATTTCATTTTACCTTTTGCAAAACTTCTCGACAAAGACAAATACATTCTATTGTTTATCTACTACTTGGAGATTTTCACTAATTTTAAACAGTTTTTTAATGGTCAACTGATGTTTCACATTTGCCGTAAACGAGAATCTTAAACTCTCTAATAACTTCCTGTAATTCCTGTAATTTATTGGTTTTCACTAGCGACATAAGCGACGGAAGCATGAGCATAAGCATAAGATCGTTGGGTTCTAGTGAAAATGAATGTGACGGAAGCATAAAAAAACAATAGGAAGCCATTGTTTATGAAAGAATCCAATGTGTACAGGGGACTGAGTACGAGAATTTAATTGGATTACCACCTTGTGCTTCTGTAAGCGACCAAAGTATAAGAATCTGGTTTTCACTAGCGACATATGGACGTACAAGCATAATGTAAGAAAAAGGAAACCTTCCCTTCCTTCTGCTTAATATGCTTCCGTGGATGTTCTGCTTCTGCTTACGTCTCCGTTTTTTGATTTTCATAGGAACATAAGACGTCTTACGCTTCTGCTTCTGCTTCCGTTTCTGCTTCCGTCACTAGTGAAAACCAGGCTTTGCACTACATGTGAGTCGGTATTTAACTCTCTATTCTTAGTTGAGCGTCCTTATATATAATTATATACACATATGAGTATTATGATGTAATGGAATAACTAATAAGTGAATTATTACAGAGCAACATTCCTCCCTTGTTTAGAAAGATCTTACTATAGCCCAATAACAACGACAATGTATAGATATATTTGTTTCTAATATTGAAATGTTTAACTTTTCTATTGGTATAGTTGCTATGCATAATGTTGTAAATATGCTGGTTGTGATTTTGACCACATAGATCTTCGAGGGAAATTGTTATTTCCTTGTGCAGGTTGTGAAGATGGTTGGTGATTGGTGCTGACTGGCTGATGCTAGCCTGATGACGATTATTTGAAACAGTTAAGTCACCTTCCTCATCATCATTGTACTGTGATCTGTCTGTTGTGGTCCAATACTTCTTTACATTTATGTGAGGCATTTTTTCTGTGTTTGTTGCTGTTTGTGTCTTGTATAGAACGATCTGTGAGCCAGAAAGACGCGAACAAATAGATGTTGTGTGATGTGTTACATTAAAACTTGTCAATGAAACTTGCAAACTATCCGATTTATGTAAGAAGTATTTGCTTGTTTGCCCAAATCTTTCTGCAAAAACTTTTTTTATATCCAAGAAGCTTTAAAATAGCTGAAATGAAAACGAATGAAAATAGAGAAACATCACAAAAGAATAAATAGGAGCCGGCAAACTATCCAATTTGTGTATTTGATTGAAATATTTGCTTGTTTACCATGCAAATCTTGAGCACAAAAACACAGCTATTTTCTCCAGTAGTGTTTATGTTAATCTCATGGCAAATACATTAAGGGAAACACATGGCGAATGAGTTTTAAAAACGTTGTGTGACAAGATTTAACTATCTACTTTTAATTAGATACACAAATGTTTGTTGTTCAGTTGCGAAGGACACTAAGAAGTGGAGTTTCTTTCAACTGAACCGTTTGTAGCTTTTACTAATAAATAGTTTCAGAAGTCAACAGCTTTCATTTTTACCTGATTTAGATGTTGATGAACTTTAGAAAAAAACTTTAAAAGTATGTGAAACATATAAATAATCAATCAGAACCGAATGGTGTTTTGAATTCATAATTTCAATCCAAAAACGATTTGATCGATTACAAAAACAGTTAGCATTTCATTCATACGCTAAACTTAGCCAATGACATTTCCACATGTACACAGTTATTAAATACTTTAAACAATGGCCTACTATTTAAGATATTTGGAAGGTGTTTGTTTGAAAAAGGCTGTGGCATCGATGTAATCATCCAGCCCACAGCCAAACTCACAGTTCAATGCCCATAGTTTAGATTTCTTTTTTGATCAAAATCTTTTAGTCAGTACTACTCAAGACAACTTTTAAAACTTTTTAAACTATACTCTTTTACATAAACTATGTACACAAAATATAGGACGTGTTATATGCTTTAGTTATATATATGTGGATCGAAAGTGTATATATTAGGTGGTTCAAAAAGACCTGGACCTGGCTCAAAAAGACCTGGATTGAAAAGACCTTGGTTCGAAAAGACCGGTTACCTTGTTGTCATAGGATCTTTCCTGAATGTGGTTGAGTATTTGTTTCTTCGCTTTTGCTGCACTAAGACTTACCCTTCCTACCTTCAAGCTGTGTTGTCTGTGTACACTACAACAATAACAACAACTTTATTCTCATTTCAATAATAATGTTACAATTATAATTGCTTAACTGCAGTTAGCATAAAAAAAGTATTCGAGGCGAAAGCAATTTGAGAAAAACAAAATTAACATAGCTTAATTGATACAAAAAAGAATTAAAAAAAAAAAAAAAATGAAGAGAAACAAAAGAAAAAAAAGCAAGACAAAGGGACAAATTAAAGGGACAACCTTTCGACTAGACTTAACTGGCAAAAAGACAACAATTATTTTTGCAGAGGCATTCCCTGAAAAAATAAGAAATAAGATAAGAAATGATGTTAATTTTTAAGTTAAAACTATTTTGTAGTTGATGTTTTCACGAGATAAATGATTTGTTCCAATTCTATATCATTTTGCTTTCTCTAAGATTTGTAGGAGAAGGTTTCTGATTTGAGATTTAAATTGTGGTTTCCTTAAAAGTTTTAGTGATAATGGAAGACTTTATTCCATATTTTAGGACCCATAGATAGAAAAGAACGCCTTAATAACTCAGTTCTGACACTCTCAATGTAGAAACATTTATTTGAAATTGATATTGTTTTGTAGTGATGAATATTTTCTGATATTGTAAATAACATATTCAAATTAACAGGGGCCGCATTATTAAATATTTCGAACATTATGATGGACATACGTTCAAAGTAAAGAAAATTTAAAGATATAGAGATCTTGCCTGTAGGAAGAAGGGAATAGCATGTTCTCTAGTTTGTGATAGAGAAGTTTATTAGTCGAAGAGCACGCTTTTGGAGTACGAGCAGTCGATTTAGGTTTGTCTTTGCACTGTTACCCCAGGAGCAAATTCCATAGTAAATATAAGGATTTATCAGTGTTTTATAAATGTCAAGAATGGCTTCACTTGGGATATGTTATGTCTAAGATTAGCTATGATACCTATAGATGTACTTATTTTCTGTGAGATATAGTCTACATGTATATGCTGTTTCCAGGATAGTTGTGAGTCGATCAACACCCCTAGATACTTAATAAAATCTTTATGTTCAATTTTTTCAAGTTTGTTTAAGTTATCTGGAAGATAGATGGAAGGAATAAATGGAAGTATTTTTTGCCTAGGTCTGAAGATTACGAAGTTAGTTTTTTTAATGTTTAACGACAACCGATTGGTTCGTAAACCATTCCGACAGCTTATAAAGCTCAGTGTTTACGATAGCTTGTAGTTCCTTTAGGTTTTTATGTTCACATAACAGACTTGTATCATCAGCTTTAATCATTTGCTCCGCATCTCTCTGACCAACAGTGTCATCATAAATGCTGCTAGCTTAATTGAATGGTTTGAATCTTTGTTCTTAATTCTCTGTATAGAAGCAGTTTGGCATGTAGTCTGTCCGGTAATTCGGTGTTGAGTTGTGTGGTAGTTTAACAGCAGGTTGCATAGTCAGGACAAGCTTTTTTATGACCTCATTAAAGCAGTCTATTTGCCCATTTACTAGGGGCCAATATTCAGTCTCTATATATGGTGATTTATCAGATAAAACAATTACCGAATAATTCACCTGTTGGGAAAGGGCCGCATACATCAATGGCTAGCTCCATCCAGGGTGCTTTTGGTAGCTCAATTAGGGCACATTGGCTGTGGTGTTGGGGCTGAAGCTGTACGTTGGCAAGGGTAACATCATTTAACATGTTCTTCAACCTTTTTATCCATCTTGGGCCACCATAACTTAGACCTGATCCGCTGCTTTCACTTTGTCATGCCAGCATGTGCTTCATGTGCTAGTTTTATGGCTTGTTGTCTGAGTTTCTGTGGAAGGGCAATACAGGTCCCTGGTAGTAGGATATCTTGATCTGTGATGCAAAGTTCATCAACGACTGATTTGAAGGGTTAGGAGATCTTGTGCTGCTGTTTCTTTCTCAGGTTCTTGCAGATTGCTGTCAACTCAGTATCTTCAAGAGAGGCTTTCCAGATGTCTTGTATTGTCATAGCTTGTATTGTCATATGCTTCTCTAAGCTTGGCAGGAAAACAGCAAGTTTAGCTTGACGTGCAAACACACCGAAAACAGATTTTGTCATGCCATTTTCTATGCTGTGTAAATAATGCTTGTCACGCATTTGGCATAAGATTTATCCCTAATAATATTCTTTTAAATATTGTATTTCTTAAAAAYGCCTGTATGCCCCTATTTTTTCTTTGTTCAAATGATAAGGTAAATGCCAAATTGGCCTTGTGAAATGAAATGTATAAAATATAATTGGTTTTCAAAAGAATATGGACACAATCTTTATGTACCTAATGATTGAAAATAGGGAGCACGAAGCTAAGAAATTATATATATTATAGCCAACTTTTAAAGTCATTTTAGAATTGGGTATATTTTAGTAAAGAAACAAATTAAAGTGGCAGTCATTTAGAGGACAATTTTAAATAGAAATTTCTCAAAATCTTTTGAATTTTTTTTAAGCCTTATCATTTCTTTTAAATGCATGGTGACCCCTACTTATCTAAACAGAGTTTGACAACCCTTTGACATGTTAAAACARCTTACATAGTCATTTAAAAAATTATTGATTCTCAATTAGTAGGGACCGTCCTTAAGTGAAATAAAAAGAAAAGGTAACAATAATAATGAACTCAATGTTAGGAAAAACATTAAAAATTAATGTAGTATGGCTTTTTCGGTGCTCAGTAATAAAGCATGCAGTAAGTGGTGTAAGCCTGAAATAAGTGTAAGGAGAAACATAAGCCTTAGATGATTGCTAATTCTCACGCTTGAGTACTTGCGACGGTTCCTAAGTGCTTTATCACTTAATAAGAGAGCACAGAAAAAGCTGTTTATTCGTTTTGGCATATATATAGCTACTGTACTTTTTTTTTGGTATCAAATTTAATTAAGCAAAGAGATGGCATCAGCACTGTGCTCCGTTTACTAGTGAAGCACAGTTTTCGACCAATCAGCTTGCGCATAATATCCTAACTATATTAAGAAATTATGTATAAATATGAGAGAATCAGTGAAGTTGAATATTTTTGAAATTGCTCTGATCTTACTCTCTTCAAACAGTTTAAGCACGAGGAGAGGAAAGTTGCATGCAAACCCATTTTAAACTGAAATGCACAACAAAAACTATAATTCTATAATAATGTAACTCTTTATGATAGCTGATGATAGTCACCCAAAGCCATATTCCTGTATATATGTCTTACATTTACTAATTGCTYATACAAGTACATAGTTTAATAAGCTTGGTCTTGTATTATATCTAGCTACAGGTATATTATATATACACATATATATATATATGGTGTGTGTATATATATACAGCTACATTTCACATGTTAATAAGTCTTGTTTACTTATTAAGTAATGTATACAATATGATCATGAGTGGCTGTGTTGTATCAGATATACAACCACAAGCCGAAGGTGAGTGATTGCATATCTGATACGACACGGACACGAGTATTGTATATTACTTATATTAGGAAATGTCTAGGTGTATACATTCATGTTCTACTATAATTTTAAAGATAAAATTGAATTTGGCTAAGAAAATTGGAGTTAAAGTTTATGCAAATCAGGACGATTTTGTATCAGATATTTTTCAAACTCATTAATAATGTATGAGGAAAACACAACAGAAATCACGACCGTGAAGAGTGTTGTAAATCTGATACAAAACTGTGTTCATTTGCATAAACTTTAAGTTGGATTTTCTTGGCCAGATTCACTTTAACTTTGAAAATTTTAGTGAAACACAAAGGAACTATTCAGTATTTGTGTCTGTGTTGTATCAGATATATACAATCACTCGGCTACGCCTCGTGGTTGTATATCTGATACTATACAACACGGCCACTCATACTGTATATATTACATAACCTCCTCCACAGACAATGATTTCTATTGTGTTTTTCTCATTTATTATGCTTGAGTTTTATAATTACTTATTAAATGATGAGGTAGAAGTGGATCACTGGAAAACTGAGGTATCATGATCAAACAGCAAAAATTGACCAGCGACAAATAAAAACATGCCTGCCATGCATTGCAATAAAAAATATAAAATTCAAAAATTATTTTTTATGCAATGTAATTAATTTATTAAATTGTTGCAATGTTTTTTTTTTAATTTGGTGGCCTAGAAATCCATAATTTCAAGAGGAAAAGTGACATCTCAGTTTGGTAAATTTTCTTGATTTAGCTGATTGGCTAACATTTTCCCCTTCAGATAAGCTGGATATTTTGTTTCAAGGGATCATATTTTTGACTACTCCTAACTCAATTACTTATTCAATTACTTGTTCAATAATTTTATATGTATGCATAAATATTTGTATGATCCATAATTATCTATGTTTTTCTTTGTACCAAAAGCACAAAGAGGTTTTTCAGTTATGATATTTTGATATTTAATTGTCATTGTTTTGCTAGTCTTTAATCACTACAGATGGAAACAGATGATTTTTTTAAAAAGAAAAAGACATGTATTTGATACATATATAAGCAAGTGTTCATTGCTTTTACGTACATGAAATGTTTTGAGACACATCAAACCCATGATTCTTTAGTGGGTTGCTTTGGTTTATAGTTGATTATATAATATGAATTGTCATTTTATTATTACTGTAGGTGCAATATGCTTGGACGTAAACACAAGGGAGTTGAATGTATAAGATGAATCAAGATAACGATGATTCTGGATTGGCTGAAGTTATGTAGGTCCCCTCATAATCAAATATGAAAGCATAAGGTTTTGAATTGTCATTATGAATGACTTCACTTTCATCAATATTTAATCCATCAATGTGTTTACAATGAGCAATTATTGATGAGGTTGAGCATGATATTGTAAATTATCAAAACTGAGACTGTGTTATCTGCCATAGCCATGGCTTCATGCATGCATCATCATCATCATCATCTTTGAGGGTCTTCAAGTTCCAAAGTATTCACCGACTTGTCAAGACTGTTTTAAAGTGCACAGCATTAGCATATGACATGGAAAAACCTTCATAACTTCGAGAAGCCGCACTCAAACTATGTAATTTTTTCGGGTTATTCAACATCTTACCCCATGTAGAATCAATACTGAGAATATTGTCAGAAGGGTGATAGGCACTTTAAAGACTGTACTAACTTTTTTGTCTTTCCACTTGTTTGTTTCTTTTTTATTTCATTTCTGAGGTTAAGATATTTAACAATTACTCACTGAAGGCAAAGTGACTATCAGTGGAGTATTTACTGAGCCCCGAGTCTTCAAGAGGCGAGCAATGTCAGATTTCTTAAAATTTTGCATGATGAAATATCATAGAAGTAAATGAAGCAGATAAAAAATGGGGGTTACCGATTTCATTAAGCCATATTTTACTGGAAAATTAATTGGTTGTAACCCATCTTTCTGATAACTTTATAAAATGACCCAATAATTGCTTTAGCATTTAAACCTTATGTTGGAAATTAGAAATATAAAATGGTACTGGGCTATGTATATACAGAGAGAAAAAAAAATACAGAGTTTTTATGGAAGAAAATTGTAAGTTCCTGGGGTAGGGGTGTTCTTTTACAAATTCACTTCCTGGTGGTTATGTACATTTTCTGGCTCTACAAATTGTAAATACCAGGTATAAAAATAATGTAAAGTTTATTACATTTGTCTACTTTTGAACTTTGACATTCCTTGGTATTTTATTCTTCCTATTATTTCTTAATTGGTTGATTGTTAGGATGGGCATGGGGATTTTACGGAGTTGGAAATTGTTGCAATGTACCTTTGAAGGTTACCCTGTGTCCTATATTGTGCAGCACCAGCCTGCGGGTAAAATCTCAAATATTAAATAAGTAAACTGAAAACTTATTGCTTTTGGTAGTCTAATTTTTGAATTCTGTCGTTTACGAGTTGTGCATATTGCATGTACTAGATAATAAGACTAAGTAAGTAAGATAATGAACTTGAGTGTGTTATGGGATATAGCTAGAGTCCCTAACATTAGATAGAAAACCACACGGGCTCCACCCTTGCCGCTTTCTATCTAATGTGAGGGACTCTATATCTCATAAAACACTCAAGTTCATAACTATCTTAGAATATGATCACACTTTTTGTTTGTTCCTCTCTCAAAAAATATAAATCTAATAAACTTTGGAATAAAAGTAAAGATATGTTATAAAATGAGAATAACAATGGCAGTTTTAACATCATGATAATAATAATAATAATAATAATAATAATAATAATAATAATAATAACATTATTACAAATAATAATAATTATAATAAT